CTCTCTCCGTGACTCCCTTGTCCGCTCCACACTTCCCTCCAGCCCCACCTCACCCAGCACTTTTCCCTGCAACTGCAGGAAGTGCTACACCTGCCCTTACACCTCCCCCCTCACCCCCATCCCAGGCCCCAAGAAGACTTTCCACTTCAAGCAGATGTTCACCTGCACATCTGCTAATGTGGTATACTGCATCCGCTGTTCCCGTTGTGGCCTCCTCTACATCGGGGAAACCAAGCGGAGGCTCGGGGACCGCTTTGCAGAACACCTACGCTCGGTTTGCACTAAACAACTGCACCTCCCAGTCGCGAACCATTTCAACTCCCCCTTCCATTCCTCAGACGACATGTCCATCCTGGGCCTCCTGCAGTGCCACAACGATGCTACCCAAAGGTTGCAGGAACAGCAACTCATATTCCGCTTGGGAACCCTGCAGCCCAACGGTATCAATGTGGACTTCACAAGCTTCAAAATCTCCCCTCCCCCTACCGCATCCCAAAACCAGCCCAGCTCGTCCCCGCCTCCCTAACCTGTCCTTCCTCCCACCTATCCCCTCCTCCCACCTCAAGCCCCATCCCCATCTCCTACCTACTAACCTCATCCTGCCCCCTTGACCTGTCCGTCCTCCCTGGACTGACCTATCCCCTCCCTACCTCCCCACCTACACTCACCTTTACTGGCTCCATCCCCGCCTCTTTGACCTGTCTGTCTCCTCTCCACCTATCTTCTCCTCTATCCATCTTCTATCCGCCTCCCCCTCTCTCCCTATTTATTTCAGAACCCCCTTCCCCTCCCCCATTTCTGAAGAAGGGTCTAGGCCCGAAACGTCAGCCTTTCTGCTCCTCTGATGCTGCTTGGCCTGCTGTGTTCATCCAGCTCTACACCTTATTATCTCAGATTCTCCAGCATCTGCAGTTCCTACTATCTCTGAAACAATTCATTTTTCTTCATCCTGAATTATCACTTTGGACTTCATATTTACTTCATCTCTAAATACCTGCCAATCTGAGACAATATTCAAATTTAGAATCTAACATCAGCTTTTAAAGCTGTAAACCTCAAGCTCGATCAGGTGAAGTCTGACCTTGAGGATGATCACTTCCTGGAAGAAAACAAAGAAACCCCACGGTTGTTTTCAGTTTCAAGCACTGAAAATATTTCCCATCAGAGGGCGCCTTGAGCTCAATCCCCTATTGTCGGTAAAATCCCCTGTCCAAGGTGCTGAAACTCTCAGATATAATAATTAGTTCAATAATTATTTAATTAAAGAGGAGCCCAAAGACATAATTGTCACTTCCAGTCAATCTTGTTGGGAAGTGGACACATGTAAAGATTAGAGATTAGTCTAAAATAGATCTTATTTCACTGCAAGATCGGAAGTTTGGAATTTCTCTGATTTTCCTAACGAGTGTAAGCCTCAAGAGTATACCCCTCGGGCACAGGAAGAGAAAATGGAAACAGAGGTAAAGTTTGTATCGCATTTGACTCGTGAAGCTTTAGTTAAGAAAATCTCTCTTCTCTCGCCCCAAAGGTAGATCAGAACTTCGTTCAAACAGGATAATGCTATATTGGTGGCTAAATCTACTTGCATACTGCTAAAAAAAATTGGTTTAAACTCTGCACGCCATCTCCAGGTGCAGTTCGAGACTAAATGGGGCGATACTTTCATGTGGTTATAAAGCACAAGCTGTAGTGCTGTTATGTTCGCTTCCAGTCAGTTGCAAAGGTCAAGGTTATTATTGTGCCTATTATTATTCTACAGAATAACAATGATAACTTGGGAACAAAAGGAAAGATGGTGACATATAAAAAGCAAATGATGGATCACGAAAAATAAGATTAGCATAAAAAAAGCTGGACATATAAGTTGCTGTACGAAAGGGGTAAGGTGCTTGTCTCTTTGTGAATTTCTCACATACCCAGGCTGATAAATGTTGGTTTTGGAAGCAGAATGTTGTAATTTCCTATTTTTAGACCAAAATAACAATCTGTGGCCAACTTTGAGGTGACATTAATGTATCAAACAGAAAGGAATTGTCTTTTTATTTGCTGTTCACCCCTGTGGTGTTGCTCACAGATAACCAGTGGGAGAGTTGTGATTTCTTCCAACAAATATGGAGTTGCATTTCTCTTCTAGCCTATTATTTGCATCACACATCTTTTGCGAAAGCAATGTATATAAAACCCCGATCCTCTACCCCAGATTGCCTTAAAAGTTAACAGTTAAGGTAGTTCTCTGAGCTTGATGGTTGCTGGTAAACTGCAGACTTCTTCCCTTGGGGAGAACTAAATGATGAACAGCCAGCATGAAAATATGACTTCCTCACTTTATTTACATGCATACACTTTTACTACTTTTAAGTGCAATATTTGAAGCATGTTGGATGCCTCCCTACTTCGCCATCACCACTAAATGTGACTCTCTTGCTGCAGTACCTAAGAGGAATAACCTCCCTGTGACTGTTTCTATTGACTGACTGCCTGCTTACAGTGATGGAGATTATAGGCCTCTCTGATTTCCCTCAGAAAATGGTCTTTCCCTACTCTCAGTGGGCTCTGGCTGAAGTTAGGAATTCACCATCAGAATACTTGAGGGGAAGGATTCATGTTTTCTTCTCTTCCAATGCCAAGTGAAATATGTGGATGTGGCTCAGTTTACAATGGCTTCATACTGTGAGAAGTGAATTTTTATTACTTATTTGCCCTTGCTCTGATTAAACAATACTTTTTTAGAGGCTGAAGGGATCAAATGATATGGGGAAGAAAGTGGGAATAGGATCCTGAGTTCAACAATTATCCATGATCATATTGAATGGCTGAGGCAAGCATGAAGTTGCTGAATGGCCTACACCTGCTCCTATTTTCTACGTTTCTGTGCCATTTGAGAAGATATCCTTCAAATGTAATAAGCAAATATTGCTGCCTCTTTTTCTCCTTGGTTTTAAGCTGGCCTACTCATTGTTCAACCTTTCTTTCTATACCCAGATAGAGTTGTTAAAAACAAGCTAAGGCTCCAATCATTGGCAGATAATCACAAAAGTGATATGGAAAAAAAAAATTAATTGATATTGAACATATCAATCAAAATAGAAATCTTACACAAAATACACCTGAATATAGTTCATCTACATTCAATAGCAATTAAGGACCAGCTTACAGAGGAATACATCAATGTTGCTAATTGATGCATGTATTTGAGTTAGTGTCCAACACTCAATATTCTTTTGGCACGTGCTGGGGTGGAGGAAGCCAGCTATATGTGACTTGTAGTGAATGCAGAAATCTCCCAATATCTCAGTGACTAAATGCATTGTGTATGGCAATACAGAGTGGTCTGGGTTAGGGCATTGATGATGTCTGCTAATAGTTGGCTGTCGGAATTCTCTGACTAGGCTCCCACATGCAGTATGGGCACTTGGTACCGTTAAGGAACAGCAGTTTCAGGACAGAATGCAAGATAGTCAGGCAAATTGGAGTGGGTTTAGAAGCAAGAATTGCTCCCTGGACATTCTCTCACATTAAACAAAAAGTAGCTGACTGGAAATCTTGTCTTTTAAAATATTCTAAATGTCATCAGTGTTGAGGTTAGAAATGAAAAATCACCTTTTTAAAAGGCAATAATACTTCCTGAAGTGAGGGCCAGAGTTTGCTTTCATTTTTAATTAATAGTTAGGGTATGGGTGTCACTGGCAAGGTTGGCACTATAACCAGTCATTAGTGGAGGGTAATTGTGACCTTTTCATGGAACCAAGTGCAGTATTGAGCAGATAAGTGGCAAGAATATTTGCACCACAGAAGTGCCAGGCAGTGACCATCTCCAACTGGATCCAATGGTATTACCATTGCTGAAAGCTCCACTGTCAAATTCTTGAGGTTACCATTGACCAGAAACTGAACTGGACGATCAACATGAATATTGTTGTTACAGCGGCAGGCCAGGTACTTCGAATTCTGTATTGAGTAACTCATCTCCTGACTCCCCAAAGCCTGTCCACCACCGCCAAAGCACAACTCAGGGACTGTGATGGAATACTTGCCTGGACGGTCGCAAAATCATTGCGGAAGCTCAAAATCATCTCGGATTAATCAGCCTGTTTGACTGACACCTAATGCACTGCACTTCTACATCCACTTCATCCACCGCTGACACTCAGTAGCAACAGTGTGTACTATCTACAAGATGCACTGCAGCAACTCACCAAGGCTCTTTCATCAGCGCTTCCAAACTTGTGACCATGTCTACCTAGAAGAAGGGCAGCGTACGTACACATGGGGACGCCATAACCTGCAAAGCCACACAGCATCCTGATTTGGAACTACATCACCACTCCTTCCTTGTGGTTGGGTCACAACATCCCTCCCTAACACTATACCGTGGTATCCCACATAGAGGTTCGAGAAGGAGGCTCACCAGGGCAATTTGGGGTAAGCAAAATAAATCTGAGGAAGGGTCACCGGACCTGAAACGTTAACTCTGATTTTTTCCTTCACAGATGCTACTAGACCTGCTGAGCTTTTGCAGTTTTTGTTCCTGATTTACAGCATCCGCAGTTCTTTCGGTTTTTGAAATAAATGCCGACCTTGTCAGCAATGCTCACACCCGAGACAAGAGCAGTCTCTTTGGTGAAAGCACTGGACCCAATGACTATGAAGGAGCTCTGGTAGATTTCCACCAAGGTGGTACGTGGCTTAGACAAGAACTTGGAAGCGGCGTTCCTCTGTTCCTGCAGCTGATGACCTTCCAGGCAGTTCAGGTCATGGGCATTCCCTCCCCCCTGATTAACAAGGCAGCAAACGTAAGAAGTGGAAAACAAAGGTAAAAATAAACCACGTCAGGAGAAGGACGAGCTAGGGCCGAAGATGTCCCCCCGCCCTAGGGGATGTGTGCTGATCTTCCGGTCACGTTGCGTGGTGTTTACGGCGGTGGATCAGCTGTTGGAGAGCGCTCCGCCCTGTGCTCCTCCTTTCCCAGCGTTTACAGGACACGATCCGGGGGGTGAAGCTGATGCGGAATTTCCAGCTGCGATGTTCATACATTTCTAAATCGAGCTCCGTGTGTGTGTGTGTGTGTGAGAGAGAGAGGGCCTGCCCTTACCGGGGTGGGTGGGGGGCGGGTTGGGAGGTGAAACTGTGCCTTTGTTCAGATCTGCAGTAAACCAGCGCAGGGAACTGGAGGCAGCTTCTTTTGGTGAGTACAGTCTAGTTTCAGTCACATTATGGGTCGTAACTCGGTTTTGGTCGCTGCAACTGTTAGATTCTGTGTGTACGCTGGGTTTGGACGGCCGCTGCTTCTTAATTCAAAAATGAAATCATTTGCAGACTGTTGCAAGTGCATTTGGGATAAAGAGTTCACTAAAGGCTGTGATTTGTGCTGAGCTTGTTGTGGTTCGGCTTTGTTTACAATGGACCGCGTTCCCCCCGACCCTCCCCAAACTCCAGTTCTTCCAAACGCCAGTGCGAGGAAGGGTCTGAGGAAGAGAGGGAGCTTTCAGTCTTCCCCCGCTCTCTTCCAGTCACATCGAGCCTCTTTGGGAACTGTATAAACACATCAGGTTGACCTTTCAGCGTTGCGTGCCCTCACCCGGCGCCTGAAGGTGGCATTCACTTCTAAAAGAGCGTGCATTTGTGTAGCGCCTCTCACGACTTCGGGACGTCCCCACGACCTTTTTCGCAGCCAGTGAAACACTCAGGAGGCGGGGCTGGAGCGGGAACGCGGCAGCCAATCTGCGCATAGCAAGATCCCACTAAGAGCAATGGGCGTGGGATGAGTAATGGCCACAACTCGGCTGCTCTCCACTGAGATCTTTCATCTTGAGGGCAGGCATTTCTGTAGTTGTGTTGCTGACAGGTAGCACAGTTTATACCTTAGTACAGTCTCTCCACAAGAGTCCAGCCACCCTCTAACATCAATTTGGAGAGCATGCTTGTGTTAAATGAAGCATTCACATGTAATTTGGCTGAATGAATTATAATAATCATCTCTGTGGCCTGGGGTACTGTTCATTTTCAATTCTTTGTCAATGCTAAAGTTGCCCAACTGGATCTCATCCTGCAACATAACAGTACCCCCATAGCACTGCACAGGAGTGTTAGTGTGACTTCTGTCACTGTGCTGGAGTTCCTCAGAACCTTCAGGCTAACGCAAGCAGGTTATCACATATTTCTGTGCAGAGATGTTCATTTATTTCCTGTACTGAAGTCAATGAGAGACTTTGCCATTTTGTACAACTGTAGCAGATTATCATTGCAATACAATTATGCCCTAGCCTCTGTCACCTTATGCATTGTTCCATTTTCCCCCTTCATTGCTATTTGCTGTGTCCTTTCTGATACTAAAGGGTTAGTACATGGTATTCTATGCTAAAGTTACAATTCATTAATGGAAAGCTGTATTATTATGGCCATACACTTCATTTTAAAATGAGTAGAAATTTTTCTTTAATAAAGCTCAACCTCAAGTGGCCATTGGTCAATTAGTATATTAGTCCACAAAGTCGTGATGGATGACAATGGTGGAGGGCAGTCAGTTTTTATTTGGGTTTGTTACAGTCAGTGGATCTAAGTGCATATGGTGAATATTAAATGTGGCTCAGGGCCTCGCAGTGCCAGGGATCCGGGTTCAATTCCACCCTCAGGCAACTACCTGTGTGGAGTTTGCACGTTCTCCCCGTGTCTGCGTGGGTTTCCTCTGCGTGTTCTGGTTTCCTCCCACAGTCCAAAGATGTGCAGGTTAGGTGGATTGGCCATGCTAAATTGCCCACAGTGTACAGGGATGTGCAGACTAGGTGGGTTAGCCATGGAAAATGTAGGGTTATAGGGATAGGGTAGGGGGTGGGTTTGGGTGATTTGATTTATTGTAGTCATATGTACCTAAGTACAGTGAAAAGCTTTGTTTTGCGAGCAGTATAGGCAGACCACAGCAAACAAGGACATGCGGATCATAGGACACTTTGACAGAGCGAGGCTGCACAGGAGATTTGCAAAACAAGATCAACATTAGCAATATTAACAACTTTGTGAAGTTAGAAAGGTCCGTTCAGCAGATGGCATGCTCTTCGGAGAGTAGATGTGGACTTGATGGGCCAAATGGCCTGTTCGCATGCTGTAGGGATTCTATCGTATTAGTTATTGTGCTTGTTAAAGAGAATGATACAAATATGACACAGCTTTGCACATGAGTTTGGATGAGGAGTCTGCTCATATTGACTGCTACACTGCAGGAAATTACACTCCCTGGTATATGTCACACCCACAAATTAGAAAAGCATTGCTATTAAGGATCAAACACTCTGGGCTAAGTTCCTGTGGTAGTTCTACAACCAAGCTTTTGGGGGTGAAATTGGACCTTATGAGGATGCAGAGTAGGGGCAGAGTTCTTTTTGTTTCTGACACATGTCCGGTTCAAATGAAGTCACTGGGACTGAATGATGGGCAGAATGGCTAACATGCCGACTGGTGGGATACCAGTCCCACCAGGTCCAGCTTCACCCCCGCTGTCACTCAAACTGTGTGAACACCCAGCAATCCGTTTAGCTACGTACAATGTTACGAATTGTAAGGGCCTTGGCTGTAACATGGGTACTTGACTACAGCTTTCTGAGGGTCTCACTTAGTGCAACGCCATCTTAATCACATACTGATTAGCAGTGCTTGAGGAACTGGATGAGATCTGAGCTCAGTCTATGAATTCATCCCTTTGCCAGGCACTGACAACAGAGTGGTGAGTCTGAAGCTATCTAACTAGGCGAAAGGGATGGGTGATGCTGAGGGACTAAGGCCAAACGCAATAACATAGAAGCCCTACAGTGTGGAAGCAGGCCGTTCGGCCCATCAAGTCCACACTGACCTTCTAAAGGGCATCGCACCCAGACCCACCTTCTACCCTATAAAAACCACATTTCCAATGGCTAACCCACCTAGCCTGCACATCCCCAGACACTATGGGCAATTTAACATGGCCAGTCCACCTAACCTGCACAGCTTTGGAGTCTGGGAGAAAACCAGAGCAATGAAGGAAACCCATAAACGCATGGGGAGAATGTGCAAACTCCACACAGAGAAGAACATGGATCCCCAACACCGTGCGGCAGCAGTGCTAACCACTGAGCCACAGTGCCGCCCTTTATACTCTTATAACTCTTACAGTTAGACAGACAGTGTACAAGAAGAGTGACCATAACATCCCAGCCTGGGTGACACAGGTCTGAGCACCCAATGGAAAGTGTTTGGTTTGAATGTCAACCCAGAATCTTTCAGAAGAGATGACAAAACTGCTCATGGTATCCATTTCAGGAAATGATTTTTCTGCTTGCAGCTCAAGTAAGCAGTGACATCGATATGTTTGAAGCAAAGCTTTCCAGTATCAGAAAAAGACAAGTGAGTGATAGATATGCATTTGAGAAGGTGAGGTGAAATGGTAACCAGGGAAATCTACCTTGGAATGTACTCACAGTGAGTGCTTACTTGGAAATGGTTGGAGTGTTGTAGCCTGTCAAACAAAACAGTGGAACAGAAAGAGCACACTTACCATTTTAGGTCTAACTCAGTAATGATGCACCTTCTGGTCTCCCTGCTTTATGAAAGATGTTGTTAAACTTGAAAGGCTGCAGAAAAGATTTACAAGGATATGGCCAAGACTGGAGGGTTTGAGCTATAGGGAGAGGCTGAATAGGCTGGGGCTATTTTCCCTGGAGCGTAGAAGGCTGAGGGCTGACCTTGTAGAGATTTATAAAATCATGAAGGGCATGGATAGGTGAATAGCCAAGGTCTTTTTCCCAGGGCAGGCAATCCAAAACTAGAGGGCATATGTATAAGGTGAGAGGGGAAAGATTTTCAAGGGACCTTAGGGGCAAAATTTTCACACAGAGGGTGGTGCATGTATGGAACAAGCTACCAGAGGAAGTGGTGGAGGAGAGTATAATTGCAACATTTAAAAAGCATCTGGATGAATACACGAATAGGAAGGATACGGGTCAAATGCTGGCAAATGGGACGAGATTAATTTAGGATATCTGGTCGGCATGGATGATTTGGACCGGAGAGTCTGTTTTTGTGCTGTACTATGACTATCTTCTCCAGCTGCCACGCAAGCAGTTGGGAGCAGGATTCTCCTTCTCAACTTCTCCCTTGCCTGAGATGTGGTGACCTTCAGGCTAAACCACCACCAATTGTCTCTCTCTCTCTCTCTCTCTCTCCCCCCCCCACTCTCTCTCTCCCTTTCTCTCTCCCTTTCTCTACCTCTCTCTCTGTCCTTCTCTCTACCTCTCTCTCTCTCATGAAAATGCAGCCCTATGGTTTGCTAAGAATATAGCTACTTTACCCTTTTACAGCATAACCATTACTGACTAATATTTTACTCGACCTGAGATGGTTGTTCGAGTATGGAATCCTGCTTCCAACTGCTTGTGTGGTGACTGGAGAAAATAAGATAATCAAAGTAGTCTGAAACTGTTCAAGATTCACACCATTTCACATTGTAATCCACCAGAGCTGTCAATAGTGGGGCATACTAGGATTATATCTAGATATATTCAGAAAGAATGATGGTATCTGTGAGGCCAGTTAAACATTTTTAGTGGTGTCTATTTGAAAAGAATAAGTTTTATATACTTAAATTCAACTGATGGAATCTAAATGGTAAAAACTACACAGAACTTGATCCCTGTTTTGTTTCATTACTTGGGTGATAACATTTTGTTATTTTTATAGAATCCCTACAGTGTGGAAACAGGCCCTTTGGCCCAACAAATCCACACTGACCCTTGGAGCATCCCACCCAGACCCATCCCTTTATAACCCGCCTAAGCTACACATCCCTGAACACTGCAGGCAATTTAGCATGGCCAATCCACCTAACCTGCACATCTTTGGACTGTGGGAGGAAACAGGAGCACCCTGAGGAAACCCACGCAGACACAGGGAGAATGTGCAAACTCCACACAGACAGTCACTCGAGGGTGGAATCAAACCCAGGTCCCTGGCACTGTGAGGCAGCAGTGCTAACCACTCAGCCACCATGCCGCAGTGTTAACTTTTTTAGATTGGGAATCATTCCAGGTGACATTTAAATATCAATGTTGCTAAATATTCCTCACTAATAATTTAAACCTTTAAACCATTTTGTGATAGCTGTCTGATGTGAATTTTTCAAAAGCATGACCACATTTTCATATGCTCAAACGTTTCTCT